CCAGGCGTGGGCCCCCCCCCCCCCCGTTCAGTGGCGGAGCAGACTATCGTAGCGTTTAAAGACTCTGGCGATGCAAAAACGCGAGCGTGGTTAATCGTCGCGTTACACAGTTCATCGATAGACTAGACACTCGCGGATTTCGACGAAAGCGATAGCACGCAGGCACTATTTTTAGAACAGTATATTGTAATACATTGTATTCACGTAGCACCTGTCAGCTTTATCATCATATCCATTGTCACTAACCGCGTCTTCGTCTGGCTTGCGGCAGTTTTTTTACTAATTATAGTTAATTAAATTCAACAATCCTCCCGATTAAATATTAATTTAAATTTTACATTAAATGCAACAATAAATTAATATAAAATTCTATAGGGTCTTATCGTTCCATAAAAAGGTTTTAACATTTTTATTAAAATTTTAAATTCATAAAAATATACATGAGACAGAATATATTTCATTAATCCTTTCATTTCAGATTTCATTTAGAAATCAAATCAAATTGATTATGCTAAGTTACACAGCCGAGTTCCCTCTACTTTTGGACGCTTTCCGCTCTCCTCGAGAAAACCTAAAGGACCTCCACACACGTCGAACACATCTGGCGGTGCACGCATCGACTTCTATTCTATTTCACGAAACCTGCGTTGGACTCGATTTGCCTGCCGATTCATCGATTTATCGAGCTACGTACATTGCAACATGCATCAGTGTGTGGGGGCCTTAAGAGATCGAAAAGAGAAGAGGACAAATCTAAGACATTCTCGACAAATCGACGTTCGTCTTCTCGGGCGGACTGCAGTTAACTCTTCGACTCGGGGCATCAAAGTCGAAGTATCAGGAAGCGCAGGAAAACGAGAATGACTCGAGTTTCCAGTGTTCGTTAATTACACGCCGTCAGAACGAGTTGGAGAAGAACGGCGTTTTGCCGTTTCGTGAGAGAGCAGATCGGAGCAAAGTGACGCAGAGAGCGGCAGGAGCAGCAGCAACAGGCCTGAATACGTCTCTCTCTCTCTCTCTCTCTTTTGGAAACGTTACACGGGCGTCTATTCTCCGATCGGCTCATATTAGATATCTCTGATTATCGCAGGCTATCGCATACCTACGTATCGATACGTATCGTTTCACGCGCTAAACTTCTAATGACTGGGCCCCGTGGATCCGCCCAGACACGACACCATTGGTATCCGGTGTCCGAGATTGCCTGTGCTCCAGCCAGGATTTTAACACCGGGACGAACGAGCACCGATCTTCTACGGCCCTCCATCTTGCCAACGCTTGTCTTCTGCGACCGATCGACCAAACTA